GTTTTGTTTTGGAATATGGTACGGATTTATTCATAACCGAGGAAGGTATTTTATTCTGTAAGTTATGTGAAGTGAAGATTAACAATGATCGAAAATTTGTAGTGACTCAACACCAACACGTTAACACTGAAAAATATAAACGAGCGGCTATTAGAAAAAACGAAAAAATACAAATTCTGAAATTCAACAATTAGTAACTAATACTCCGAAAAAATGTTTATTCTCATACGATTTGTGTAAAGCATTATTGTCAGCAAACACACCGCTTTACAATTAAAATTATTTWTAGAAAAGTATACACCAAGAGAAATTCCTAATGACTCGGTGAACTTAATATGTCAACAACATAGACGAAGAAACTATGAAAAATATAAGAGAAAAATTAAAGGAAATAAAATATGGATGTCGATCGACGAAACAACCGGCTCTGAAGACAGGTATGTAGCTAACGTTATAAATAGTGTACATACATAAAGGAATTTTGTGCGTTAACATAAAGATTTTTACAATTATAGGTACCTATATGTTTTTAAATATATAAAACATTAATATTTGTACAAACACTACAAACTAATGATATAGTTTTTAAATTATCATACTGTATATTTATATTAATATAAATTGTACAAACACGTTACGAAGACGTGCGATTTTCGTTTATGATGTGATTTTGTATTATTATTATTATTATTATTATTATTTTTTTTTGTAAGGAGAACCCGCGGCAACATAGGCCATTGGGTGTGGGGTGGTACGGTAGGGGTAATTTTTGTATATTTGTTTGTAGGTTTTTTAAGTGGGTAGGGTTGTAACATGTGTTTGTGTATGTGTGGCAAGGATATGTTGCTAAAAATCCCGGGTGGTCACCCATCTGGGAGCTAGTAACTGCGGCCGGTACGTACGCTCAGTGCGTTTTCGCAGATTGAGCGTACGACCGCGCCTCACCAAGCCACTTTGTATTATTAATGTTTGTTTGGAAGGCCATATAAATCGGGGAAATATGAAACACGAAGAAAAAAAATCTAGAATTGTTATTTTCACGAAATTGTATATCAGGAAATGATAAAATAAAGGAATGATATTTTCAAGGATAAATATATTCTCGGGATAATATTTTTCTAAACAAAATTAACTTAGAAAAATATAAAACACTAAAATAGCACGGAACCGTATTTTTCAGGAATAGTACCTATAAATTAAGAAAATATCACTCAGGACTGTATAAATCGGRACAGCATTTTTGAGTATATTGCTACACATCATGGATCCGTATACGAATTCCGTAATCGAAAATCATATTAATAGAAAAAATAAAGCATAGGGGACTCGACGGGACAGGGTGGTTATTCACAGGAAAATATTTACGAGGTAAAGTATTAAAAAGAAATATTATTTTATAATATTCTATGAAATTCTAAGAAAAATAATATTTCTGTTTGATAATCAAAAATGTTGTCCCGATTTATACAGTCCTGAGTGATATTATCCTAATTTATACTATTCCTGAAAAATACGGATCCGTGTTAACTTTTCTACTGTTTTATATATTTAATTCTGTTAAATATTATTCAGAGAATGAATTAATCTTTGAAAATATCATTCCATTAATATAGCATGTTTTTTAAACATCTTTCGTTACAGAAAAATTAGTCCTATTTTCCTAAAAACTATGGTTCCATATGAATATTTACCTCATTATTTTTATGTGCTGGGAGTTCGTTTACGACAAAATACATTATATCATATAGCGCCGTGATTGCCGTGAAATACCGCTTAATATTCGTACCGCATACACTGCACGCACAGCCTAATATAATATTGTAAATATTGTAATATRTATTTTTATTACAATGTCATCTTGCGAATACGCTCAACGCTGAATTAGTTTTGACAATGACATTAAACCATAATATATTGTTGTATAGATCGAGTACAACACAATAATCATATTATGCCACGTAATATAATATGGATGATTATTATTTATTAATATACCGATTTGATCGTCTTTGAATGTCGTGTAATAGTTAAATATTTATACTATTATACATATAGTGCGTACCATTATATTTCGTTTATTCAAGAAAATCAGATTGATAAAATACAATTTAACATGTATAAAATTTAACGATTATAATTGGCTATCTATAATAAGCATAGCTTTTTATAATTTASACTACTATAGGTAATATTTGTAAGATTATTGCTATTATGCTATATATGCTATTATTGATTATATTACGCCTTACTTTAATATTATGAATAATTATTATATGATGCATCTCATATTTTAACATACTATCTAAAATCTAACTAATTATTTATGATTAAAYTAATAATTTGAATATAATTCTCGTCACAGTGATGTGTGATTTTTATTTTAGACACCGCGAATAGACTAAATAAAWTAAATGTATACCTACTGCATACTCTTTGTAGCACCATTTGAGTTTTTAATGATGTTTGGTGATATACATTTTAATTTGACCAATCGTTTTCAACATTTTTACCAATTTTTTTCACTTCTCCGTCAAACCTTATATACCTACTACCTAATAATGTATGGTATTCAATGATCCACGTGCATGAGTTTAAACTTTTAAAGGGTTGTATACACTAAATATTTTGTAATGAATTAAAAATATTATAAAAGTTTTCATTCTGTCTTTTGGATTTTGATCTAGCCGTRAAGAAAGGTATACAGAAAAATATATATTTGGTGAATCTAACCAATACCATTCATATAATATAGGTACTCCATGAATAATATTAACCTATAGAAAGTATAACAAAAAGTTACAAATTAAAAAAGAAAAGGTCAACTTATGGATACTTTTTTTTTTATCAAACATTGAGACCATATTATAGGCAAAGAATCAATATTAGTAAATACATACATTTCACATAAACCATATTCAAACTTTTCAAAGTACCTACGTCCTACGTGTTTTCCATGACAATCTATATAGCTTGGTGTATTATACTACTATAGCTCGCGAGTAAGTACTAAGTGCATTCCAGTCATATAATATATTTAATYGTAATTATTGTTAATAACSACATACTAAATAGTTTATAGTATRCAGGTGCAATAACTGTACTATTTGACAATTTTAGTAATATTCGTAATAGAAATTTGTTAAATAGGTAGTCCTGTTACACCTTTTATACTATGTTATTATAACATTTGTCTAATAAACTATTCATAAAAATATGGGCGCCGATGTATCCACTGTGCTAGTAGGTAGGCAGCATGTATATACCTACCTACCTACCTATCAATAATAATTAAATTAACGCAAACGCGCGTGACACTTTATCACTGCAGCAATATCTATATATTATGGCATTCGATACGACTGCAGTTTTGTTGCGTCGGCGAAAAACGATCGTCTTCGGGCAACATCATAGTGCTGTCGGAGATACCTATACATTTATAAACAATTATACATAAATAATATTATGATGCCTTTGGTATCATATTATTATATCGTCTGCATAGTATGATTATAAAAATATTCGGTGGATTACCACTGATAGTTGATACCGACATGGCCTCTCATTATTACTTTGCATTAGATATTCGACGATCGTTCAATGTATAGGTACTTAGTAATCGTGTCTGGCTGTAAATATTATATATATAGCTTCCTATATACTTATTTATATACCAAGACGACTCCACGTCGTGTAAGCATACGATTTTTTACTCGTATTGGTATATTCCGAAACGTTCAATAACATCAAATAATCTTAACATACATATTATTTTAATTGTCAGATTTATGTTTTTCGCCGCGATTTCCTGCAGGTTACGGCGTCCGACGCCGCCGCCGATGCACCGTCGCGTCGTGCAGATGTACATGACGTGTTCGTGTGCGCATGCGCTTGTGTTTGTGCACTGCGCGTTGACGGGAGGGTGGGTAAGTGGTGTTGGTGGGCCGGCAGGCCGATGGATGGGCGGGGAGGTTGGAGGACAGTCCGTCCAATAGAACTTCCGTTCCTCCCATACTACGGTAGGTGCGTGCCTGTTGCGCCTTCGTCAAGCAACCGGTGGTGGAAGCCGCCTCCACAGACGCCGCCGTCGTCGGAGCTTATAAAAGCGCACGCACGGGCCACAGCACGACTCATTGCGCGTTTACCATGTTTCTACTTCACTTACCTGTACAATTTTTGTGTGGTTCCACCTGCGAACTGTGAACATTTTTCTCCTCCGCGACAAACTTTTCTCTTGCGGTCGTTCAATTTAATTTTGTACCATCCATCTCTAAACGATAATTACGGTTAGAATTACTTTGTTTTTTCGTCGGACACGCACTATACGATGGCATCCATCACGGCAAGTTTACTAATTTTATTGTCGATCGCATCTCCAATGCTGACAATCTCCCAGGAACTTCCCGAGGTGTTTCCGTCTGAACTTGCGCAGGGCACTCATATTCAAGGTAAGCAATTATAATACATAAACCTATAAAACATATATGTACCCATATTATTTTTGTATGTAGGTACATTCTCATTGTTAAAACTATTTTTATTTTTTTTTACCATTATTATTATTTTATTATTTTATTAATTTTATTAATTATTTGTCTATATTTTAATTAGATAGTTMAAAAATTGTTATATATATGATGCATAAATTAAAAAAGTATTCATCTAATATTTTCCAATTTTACTCAACTAATAATAATAATGGTAATAATAATATGATATACGTAAAGGATATTAGCATTACATGAAGTAATTTTTATTTTTAAGTTTATATTATTTGTAAAATATTGCTATTATTCGCCGTGTTGGTACTTTTTGAGTAGATTAAAATAATAAAAAAAACCTTGACAAAATAATAACTGCCAAATCGCACTTTAACTTGTCAAATGTAAGTGTTTATTTGCTCTTCTTCATTTTTTATTAACACTTAACGCACATCCATTTCTAGTCTAATATATTGTATTTTTTCTAACTGTCTCACAAAAATAAATTATGACAAATAAATCTGTTACAAAATACCATTTTATTTGACTCATTTCGTATTCAAATTTCTAACCCAGTCTTAAATAATATAATCATTCAACCATTATATGTAGGTATCAATAATATATTGTATTTATATATAATATTATATTTTAAAATAATTATTGTTGGTCTGCGCCCTCGCAGTTAAATTAATTTTTACCTGCAATAATCACCACAGACGCATAGTTAAAAATACTAATAATAATTTTCTCGTCCGTTGGATGTATAACACCCACTAATTGTTTCATGAGATCTAGTCTTAATTTCTTAATAATAATAAGTAAATAACACAGTGCGTTATATATTATCGTTCACTTGCTAAGGTTTTTTTTATTATTGTATTTTATTGCTTATGTTTATGATAATATCTCATTTTTTGCTTACGCCGAAACTGCGTATAGTATTCAAATGTTGTGGTCGGTCACCTCGTACAAAACTTAAAAATATTAACTGTAATAGCAGAAAAAATATTCAAAAAATGTAATTGATAGCCAATTTATTCAATACAAATTTCTAAGAAAAATTGATCTGAAAAAAATCAAATTATGTCAGTAATGCGCTGCAGTTACCATTGACTGCACGCGTGTCACATAAATACCACAGCGCCTAGTCGTCGTTGTTATAATAATATGCTTACGAACTTATTTTGTAGGCATAGGTATACTTATATTTCATTGTAGATATCAATCGCTAGCCATGGTTACTTAACTATGTTAGCTGATATATAAATAATGTGGTCAAAATTTGATAATCATGATAATATTAATATAATAATAATATAATACTATATGATTCGTGGGATCCTCAAGAAAACACTTACTTTTCAGCTGTTATCTTTAAATATATTTTATATGGCATATTAGGATTAAGTATTATTTATATAATCACATCATATTACTATGGTATATTATCACTTATCAGTATTATCATAATTATTACATTCGATTTGAGAGTGTACATAACTGTGCTATACTATATACGTGTATGTACGTATATTGTAAAGGTATATATACTTGATCTATTTATATCTATGTGTATAATATTCCTTTGCAAATTGCTTTTGATATTAAATACATCCATTCGTTGTGCATGATTGTATAATGCATAGACGCATAGTACCTATTGCATACATTGTGCATACGTAAATCAATGGGCTTAAGATTAAAATTTGTATGTGGTATAGTATCACTTAGATATTACCCCCTCATTTTTAATACAATGCCTGTACTTACCGTTGACGTCCGTTGTTATTTTGTCGAAGAAAAATGCGCTGCGGCCGATAAAATGCGATTTATTATTCATCATAATTATGGATAGTTATATTTAATTTTATTGCAATTCAGATGGAACGTTTTTGTTATCAATACTATGTCCATTTGCATGAGCATAAAGAAAAATATACGATTTGTGACTTGATGTAAACTTATCTTATAACGATTTAACGTTCTAAAAGATCATATTGCAATATTTACTCTAAAAAATGTGTTAGCGTACGGCATTTGATGCATAATATTTATGTGTATTAATTTAGCCAATGATGCAAAGTATATGGCCAAAAATCGGAAAGTAAGTATTCTATATATGTTAATCGAAATTTAATTGAAAACACCGCGGTAGAATATCGATAACACAAAATCACTTAATCAAAAATAATAATTGATTGGTATAGGTAGGTATATACATACTATACAACCTATACAAATCAAATTCTCGTCAAATCTCATCACCGATTACCCCTAAATATCATACTACGATGGAAATTTAATAATATCGTGTCTTTCATTATTGTCTTTGAATATAATTATAGTATGGACTCGCGAGTAGAGTTGATATTATTGTATTCATTATACATATATGTTTTCTACTCCGAATTATCTTGATATTTGGCAATAAATTGCTTTATGAGTTATCGAAATTCTACTGTCCTAACAATAAATTGACATAAGTTATTACTTATCTATTACTGTAGTGCTACCTAATATATATAGTATATACATAAATATAACATGTGTCCCGTAACAAATATACACGCAAGAAGCACGACCGCCATGCCAATAACCGTTTCGAACCCATTCATATAATACATTTTCCTGACCTACCCATAGCCTAAACACATTAGCCGTGCAATGAAAATAAAAAAAAAAATGTATAATTGTCTAAGCGATCCTTATTTGATGTTGTCCGTAAAACAATAACGTGTAAATAACTTGAAGATTTCTAGCTAACAATACTGCGTAGTTATATTAATATTAATAATTGTTAAGCGATCTCTATCGGCTGTAGAATATTACGAACGAGTGGCGCCGCCCTATAATATTTATTATTTGTATTCGTTTTTTCGGTTGTCGGTGTTTCGGTGCAACGACGCGTGCATCTTGTTATTACCATCATCGTTAGTCGTTACACTCAATATTATTATTATTGTGCGCTGCAGCGACGRTATAGTTTACATGTGAAGTTTGTGTGTGTTGTGTCGTTGTGTCTACTGTCTTGTGCGTGAGGTGGTTCATTGAGAGAAAGACGGCGTGGTGACGAGTCTTAACGTCGAGAAACGCTGATRTGTTGCGGTGGCGGGTGTGTTTGGTATGCGGCTCGACGGCGGCAACCGTCAAGGTCGTGGTGAGAAAATCGTTCTCTTTTTCCTTGTTTATGTATTTTATTATATATATATATATAACACAACATAACAATATATGTGCCTGTGTATATTCGTTGGTTTGCGTGAGTGTATATATGTGTGTGCGTGTGTGTATGTGTGTTTATATGTGTGTGTGTGTGCTACAATCATTAATGATCCGACCACCCGTGACACCCCTCTTTCGCGCGCATTCCTCCTCTACATCCGTGAATTTACAACCGATACCACACGCACACAATCAAAACAATAACAAACGAAATCATGCTCTCTCATCTCTATCTCTTTCATCATATCCGTATCAAATCACTGAAAATCACTCAATAATAATATTTTCACGATTTTARTGTACTGTACACGTATAGTTGTTATACCTACGATATTTATTATTAAACATTTTGCATTTATACAAACAGTATTAGTACTCGGTAACTTACAAATAATATGCGTTGAAGGCGTTCTCATCTATAGAGGTACAGTAMATTCAAATATTCAATTCATCACTCCGTTCGATCGTTCGATGACGATAGTTATTTGTTCTCTCTTTCTTTCGCCATCGATTTTTTGAATCGTCAGTACCTATTACGTAATAGTAATTATTGTTATCCACTATATTATCCAGCAATATCGAAAAAGTCTCGACAACGACGGGCGATGTTTTTTTCACTTCTCTTACTCTCTTACATTCTATGACTCTCTCTCTCTCTCTCTCTCTCGTCTCGGTTGACTGCCATTGCGGCGGACGAACGATTCGACTATTCGAGCGAACGCTGTACACCCACTATAATATAGGTACTGTACATTATGTTATTATTATAGGTACCAACACATAGGTAACAATACTATATAGTACACACACACACACACGTATCAATATATAAATACGTAAACATATATGTGTGTGTGTGTGTGTGTGTGTATTTATGGGTACACATTCCTACAAATAATGTACATTCTCATCCTTTGCTTGTGTTTTTCGTCTATATAGTGTGTATTATTCTTGTGTGTGATGGTATTTAGAAAAATTTAATAAAAAAAAATCTCACTCGGTGCACATCGGTACACTATTATAATAATATTATAACAGTCGTCGCGTCACACGATCAAAGAGGGTAGACGGGTCGGAGGCAACGGCGTTAAGGTCCACCGGTGTTTCCGCCGTTTCCGGTACCTACATATTTTTTTCCATAAAATAATAATATGACTGTGTACCTACAGTGTTCATCGCCGCGTATGTGTACATTATTGTAACAACTAGTACGTAGCTACATAATATGTATATTATCTGCAGTTACTAAATTATTGTAATTTTAAGTTCTAATCGTGTCATAGGTAGCTACTATAAATTTACTATAACTAACTTTTGTTTTTTATTCATTTTTATTTAGCCATTTAGGTATATTTTTTTAAATGATTATTACCTACCTTTTCACTATGTCTTACATGATGGAGAAAACATATGTGACTGCGACGTCCCCTTGATAAATTTCGTCGAACTGAACGTTTTTCRTGACATTTCAAAGCATAATACATATAGTTTTAGGCAAGGCTACCATAGTACTTACATAAGTATTTATAAATTATAATCAATGGTAATAAGCTAAATTTTGTTCATGAATTATTATTATTACATAAATCAATGCCACTTAATAGTTTATACCATAATTCATTATTTCTATACAATTAATTAATGTGTTCCGTCATTGACGCCTGAAATATATTTGAAATGGAATTCCGATTATTTTTTTTAAAGAGTGCTTCGAATCATTTTTTTAGACAAATGTTCATTGC